AATTACTTTATTAATTACTCACAGAAAACACGCGAACTTCGTATCTTGTTCGAGCAACACCTTCCAAGGTTTTGATAATGAGGAGTCTCGGTTCCGATGGAATGGTTTTTCCCCTACCACAGGGTAAATCTACTTTTCGAGTTCTTACGTTCATAGTGTCATTAACATTAGGGACATTCTCATCTTCTCTGTATCGTTCCAATTGTAGTATATGTACCGCCGAAGCGAGTACATATACTAAAAATAGTTGTTGGTTCACAGATGGATCAAAAACACCTTCCGGTTCTGGTGCAGGTGTTTGCAGTCGCAGACCCAGGACAAAAATATCAACCTGCCCAGAAACCTGTGACTGTATTTCAAGCGGAAATTTACCCTATTAGATAGATAGATAGATGGATGTTCATTTTACTATATTATGTACAAAGATACATTTATAGCAAGTCAGTTCCTTAGAACTAGGTTACAATAAAAGATTTAAAATTATGAATACGTATCTAACATTCAGATTAGAAAAACAAGTTTACTTCTGGCATAAATTCAGCTATTTGTATAACATTACAACACACAAAATTCACATAAATACATTATATATAAATAAATGAGAGGGTATGACCTTAATGTCTAGACTAGCTGGCTATATAGAGTAATCATTAATCAAAGTGAAAATCAGAGTAAAAACTGTATTGTAAAAGAGATTTTTTTTATCGCAGATTTGAATTTTATCCTGTCAAGTTTTCTTGTCTTCTCAGTCAATTTATTATAAAGTTTAATATTGGGAGAATTCCTAGCCGATTTATCTAGACGATATGGAGGCTCAAGTAAAATGTCTTTTGTTCTTGTATTGTAAGTATGCAAATCCGAACAGGTTGTGAATATGTCTTTATGTTTATGAATGTGGAGAAGAGTATGATAGATATATAATGAAGACACTGTCATACCATACCTGATAAATAGCGGACGGCAATGATCTCTGTATTCAGCATTAGCCATAACTCTCAGCGCTCTTTTCTGTATAATAAACACTTTACTGGCGTGAGTTGAATTTCCCCACAACATGACGCCATAATTCAGATGTGATTGAATGAGGGCGTGAAAAGTACTGCGTAGAGTTTCTCGATTTGTGAATGTTTTTAGTTTGCGGAGAACAAAGATATAGGTGGAGATTTTCTTACACAGAATGTCAATATGTGGACCCCAGGCTAGATTGTCATCCAGTGTTATTCCCAGAAGGTTAACAGTATCACCTTTACTCGACGTATGATTGCTGAAGAAGTTTAATTTCTGCGTGAAAATTGATAGAAAAGATCATTTATATAGATGATAAAAAGAAGGGGCCCTAGAACCGACCCTTGCGGAACGCCATGATCAATTTTTTTCCACTTGGGAACGTCTCGTGCCATCTGAGACGCATATATATCTGCCCGTTAGGTAAGACTTCAATAGTTTCAGTGTTAGCCCTCTTATACCATAGTGCTCCAGCTTTCTTATCAGTAGATCATGGGAAACGTAGTCAAAGGCCTTGCTGAGATCTACTAAGGTGATTGAAGTATAAGTACCTTCTTCAAAACTCTGGACTACACAGTGTAAACTGCATCAAGTGTGCTCCGATTTTTTCTAAACCCGAACTGGAATTTGTGTATAAGGGAGTATTTTTCAAAGAAAACTATCAAGCGATTTTTAATCAAGATTTCAAANTTAATTAATGAAGGAAAGAGAAATAAAACTTTCTATGTTTATAACCACTTTTATTGGTAACTAACGTTACTGCAATTTCGTCCTATAAGGACATTTTCAAGCTCATATGTTAAATGAATATTACTGAAGTTTTTCCCAACTTCAAACCGTTATTTCAACACCTCGACACGTGTTTCGATCACCAAGTGATCATCTTCAAGAGGTGTCGAGGTGTTAAAATAACGGTATGGTGTTGGGAAAAACTTCAGTAATATTCATTACTACACCAAAGGTTCCAAACAACGCAACACAAACTTATACATCGAACTAAAAATGATTGATAACATTAGTCCTTATATAACACCACTATTGGTAATAATAGAGGTACTTTGCTTAATTGAGTACCTAAATTTTTTTTTCCTGTGACAATGTGGGTAGGTAGGTACGCTAATTTTGGAAACCGGTGAGTAAACTAGATCGATTTGATCATTTAACAGGTTGCACCAGCAATGTTTATGGTTATGAATTTCCAAGGATACCAAATGAATAGGTTTGCAACAATTTCTTGCTTAGTGCAAAATTTCCGTATCGGTTAGATTCGGGAACTTGTGGCTGCATGCCAAGGAATGGTTTGAAAACTTCGAATCATTTCAACTAGACTGAATGACCTTTCATACCGCTTTGGGAACTTTCGACTACATTGTCCCACATAAACACTATTAAACTCCGAACACTTAAGCTTATAAACTCCAGATTTCTCCAACTAGTCCAGTTTATCTTTGGCATTAAAAAGGAAATCAAATAACCTGGCATGTGAATGCCACTTCCACATTGTTTTTTCTATAGAAACCCGCAATTATCTCTGTTCATTTACCAAAATATGTTAGAGCTGCCCATTTCTTGATTTCTTATTGTTTGATTTGGGAGTATATCAATCTGTAAGTGAATGTACGGCTTTGTTTTCTGACTAACTTCTGGATTGTATCTGCGTAGAAACCATTATTATGGTCTATCTATGTAATTATTTTAATTTCCCTAGCTTGATTGTTAGAAGACAAAGGCACTGAGAACATTGTGCAACATTGAATTATAGGCTGCTAATTTATGACTGTCACTTCGGATGGTAATGTCTATATGAGGAGGATACTTGGGACGGGTTGAAAGAAAAAGCAGAAAAAGATATGGCAAATTTAATTAAATGTTTCGGACAAAAAGAACTTTCAATAAACTATGAAAAAACCTGTTTCGTTCCATTTTCTTGTTACGTCAGTGGCCTCCCGGGCTACGACAAGTTACAAATTAATATAAGCTCGGATGAAACTATTACGATTAAAAGAGTCAATAATGCGAAATATCTGGGAATAATAGTGGATTGTCATCTTAGGTGGGATAAACACCAGGTGCAAGTCTGTAAAACTCTACATTCTCTCCTATATAGGTTCAAATACTTTCAGCAAATACTGGATTTCAAGTATCTCAAAATTCTTCATCAATCATTAGTGGAAACACGAATTACTTACGATATTCTAGCTTGGGGGGCAGCAACAAATGCTCACTTGCAGAATCTTGAAGTTATACAAAAAAGATTTTTGAAAATTATATCAACCAAACCAATCAGGTATTCTGTGTACTAATTATTGTCAATATTTGGAATAAGTAAATCACCCACGAAAAGGCACTGCCTTAGTGGATACTTGTTTATTCAAAATATCTCTGAATGAAAGTGCACAAATATTATATTATTGTATTTTATTTTGACAAACTTATTATTATTTTGAGAAACTTATTATTATTTTGGGAATAAACTTATTATTATTATTATGTAGGTTAGTTTTTCTGAATACATTGAACTCCAATTCATTCTGATTGTGTGTAATGGTCAGGTCTGAGAAATTTATCTGTTTCTCTCTGTTTCGAGTGTGAACTGAATTTTATTATTGAGATTATTCATGAATTTCATAAATTGCTTCAGCTGTCGTGTAGTAAATACTACTAACAGTAGTACCCAGGTCGGAGTTTACTATAGTGGTCTCCAAGCTGTTCATAAATACGTCTGCTGAAAGTGGACTAAGGGGTGAGCCCATTGGTAAACCTGAATCCTATTAATAAAATTTGTTGTTGAACTATAGGTAACTCTGAAGTGATATGGTCTACTTTGGCTTGATCTGATATATCTAAAATGAGGGGCTCACACTCGTTGTACGATATGTTGGAGAACAAACTCTTTAAATTGAATGAAATTAAAATTGAATTATGTGACGTGGTTTGGTTCCTTATGTTTTCCACTAAATTAGTGAATTATTAATGCTGTGAGGTTGAACGAAATTGGTTATATTTTTGAACTTGTTGAGTATTCCCAATTCTCTTACCGGACTATTTTTATACAAAACTACCGGTCTTATGGGGTTATCCTCTTTATGTGTTATCATCAGGCCATATAGTTTAGGGCAGGATGGGTTCTTGTTGGTGATTCTTCGTTTCTCTGATTTCGTGAAAATGATTTTAGTATATGAAAGGAAATTTTTCAATTCAATTTGACTATTTTTCGTTGGATCTTTCTTGTAATCAATCATTTTCAGTTTAATGTATTAGTTTGAAAATGTCGAAAACGTCATTTACGAATAAAAGTGGTAAAAAACGTAATTTCTTGTTTTGTTCAATTTTTCAATTTTCAACTTTTGGCTTGTATTTTATTTCACTGTAATTTCTTCTCAGGGTTTTTTGCTTGATTTAGTTGTTATTTTCAGCGATTCATTTCAATTTTCGATTGTATTCGTTCTTTCAGGGAGTTCGAATCATTTTATATCATATTAGACAATGGAAGTCCGAACTGATTGAATTCAGTGCTTGTTTTCTATTTGTCAGTTGACAGTAACTTAGTGAAATGCTTTTCATGTTTGCAGATAAGAAATGCACTAGTGCGAACAGTTCCTTTGAAAAGTGAAATGCCGATTGCTTGTGAAAACTAATAATTTCTGAAGATATACCTCTTTCAATTTGTAAAATGATCATTGTGTAACATTCGGTAAATATATCATTTCTAAAAAGATAGATCCCACACCAACGAAGTTCAACTTTACTTATTTTTCCACGAATACTTCACAAATTATAAGGTTCATTTCAAACTTAATTGGTTTACCCCTTCTTTCGAAAGTGTCCCATATATATTAGTATAAAGATGGAGAAATAGAAAACCAAAAACCTTTCATTTCTAAAAAGATAGATTCCACACCAACGAAGCTTAAGTTTACTTATTTTTTCCACGAATACTTCACAAATTATAAGGTTCATTTCAAGCTGAATTGCTCTATCCCTTCCTTTGAAAGTGTCCCATATATATTAGAATAAAGATGGAGAAATAGAAAAGCGAAAACCTTCCATTTCTAAAAAGATAGATCCCACACCAAGGAAGCTTAACTTTACTTATGTTTTCCACGAATACTTCACAAAGTATGAGGTTCATTTCAAACTTAATTGCTCCATTCCTTCTTTCGAAAGTTTCCCAAATATATCAGTATAAAGATGGAGAAACAGAAAACCGAATACCTTTCATTTACA